CTGTCTGTCTTTCTGTCAGTCTTTCTGTATGTATGTCTGTCTGTCTTTCTGTATGTATGTCTGTCTGTCTTTCTGTGAGTCTGTCTGTTTGTCTGTCTGTCTGTCTTTCTGTCAGTCTGTCTGTCTGTCAGTCTGTATGTCTGTCTGTCTGTGTGTCTGTCTGTCTGTCTGTCAGTCTGTCTTTCTGTCATTCTGTATGTCTATCTGTCTCTGTGTTTCTGTCAGTCTGTCTGTCTTTCTGTCAGTCTGTCTGTCTTTCTGTCAGTCTGTCTGTCTGTCTGTCTGTCTGTCTGTCTGTCTGTCTGTCTGTGAAATATCCAGCGCGTCTCTGCAGCGCACGTGCGAATGTCAGCGGGAGTAGGGCGAACTTAGATTTTCCACTAGGTCATTGATCGCGGATGGTTGCATTATTTCTGGGGGATAAAAAAATCAATAACCCAAATTTGTACTGTTGAAATTGATATATGCCATACAGAAAAAGTGCAGGCCTATGCAATTTCAATCACTGTCATGAAAACTGTACCCATATTTTACATCAGGAAATACTGTCAGAATATGCATTACACTGTTATATTGACAACATGGCTACGCATCTTTTTTTGTGAACAATGACACAGGACTTGTCATTCTGATGGCACTGATGTGTTCATTGACATTGGTGCTGTTTGAACAAACTGTTTCAGGAAATGCACTTTCTGGTTTGCAAATGTTAAGGATGATTCGAGAAATGTAACAAAGCATATTTTTCTAACACTGAATTTCTCAAACTCTGTAGCTATCTAGCTATCTGTGTACACTACCAGTCAAAAGCGAGGAAACACCAGAATTAATTTATGATCTTCCATATCTTTTGTTTCAAAGGGTAACGTTAATAGTTCACTCAAATTCAGTCTGTCTCTTTAAATACTTTCATTTTGTTGCCATAATGTATAATTGTTGCCTTCACAGTAATACTTGTACCAACTAAAATGAAATACTGTCTAATTTACCTCTTTAAATAAATATATCAGTTGGACCGAATAGTGGAGGACAAGAAATTGAATTAAATAGGATCCAGGCTGATGGTTTAAGAATTTGATGTAAGAGAGGCTATAAAATATAAGCGCAAGAATGTGATATAAGCTTTGATATGTTTTATCATTTATGTTTTCGGTCAGTACATAATCCAACCATTTACGATTTTATTTTTCATACTTGTAATAATGAGAATGGGTGTATCCAGGATTGGAAGTCCACTTTACCATCCAGTTTCAATAAATGGCTGTCTGAAATGGTTTCTGCCCTCAAGCTCGAAAAGATGAGTTTTTCTAAGATCGATGCTTCTAAAAAAAATTTGTTACAATCTGGGGCCCCTTCCTCAGGTATCTTTTTAAGAGTTGAAATTTGGATTCCTTTTGAAGTGATCTTCTTCAGAAGACTTGCCCCTTTCATTCAGTCAAACTAAAGTCGCGTTACATGACAAACCTTTTGCAGTTGAGAATGATGTTTCTGATAATTCAACTAATAAGCTACTGTGACATCACACGTTCCACGCATTCTAATTGAAGTTTGAATTCAAACACAGCCCTTAATGCGGGAAAAACAAACAAAAAAACAATATGAATCCTTTTTCAGTTCATGTACCGACATTGCTTTTCACGATAAATATTTTATGAAAACAATTTATAAATGAACAATGAGCCCCATTACTCCACTATATACTTCTAGTGACTCATACAGTCGTAAACTGGTTTAATGTGCTTCAATATTTTGTCAGTATTTGTGACTAAATGTTAACGTTTCCACAGGTGCCCACCTCACCTGTTGTGTTAAACAGACAATAGAAAATAGCATAATGATAATATAATAATTTTGATTTGCCAAAATGAAATTTTTGGATCTGGTTAAAGTCAATGTCATGTGCAAAACCGAGGAAGAAAAAACTCACATATTTCTCAGAGAAGCCATCTGTCACTTTTTTTTCTTGGTATGTTGATTAAGTTGCAGTGCTAAATCTTTTATTCACAGCGATAAAGGTCTTGTATTACTCATGGCACATATTGATCATATTGTTTTTAAACTCTAATTCAAATTAGTTTTCTCTCATTTGAGAAATACATATTTTCCTGTCAGAGCAAAGTTTTCACCCACTTGATTATTTTGACATATTATGCATGCCCCAGTGCAATAGTAACAACAAACCCGTGTTTACCCTGTTTTACACCTGTTGAATAATATTCCCTAAACTAACTTGCATTTTACCACATACAGCCGACTGAGAGTGAACAAGTGTAGAACAATTACATTTGTGAATTTGCAATGCACACCTGTTTAATAGACATTAAGAGAAAATATTCTATTGAATTAAAAAAATATATATTCGTTAGATGAATTAGATATACATTTTCAAATCATTTGGAGAGGTTTGCACTTTAGGATAAGCGCAAACATGTTGGGAACATAATTTGGTTTGTTTAAAGGTATAAACCAATTGATAAATTATGTTTTTACATGAAATGTAATGTCTTGAAGAAGGATGTATATTTGTATTATTGTGTTAAGTTTGTGATCCCTGCAGTCTCGCCTCACATTCACACACCCTAAACGCTCATATTACCCCTGTAATGCCCATACATCGAAGCCAAGGTGCTTTGTTCTGTATAAACATTACAAATATTGCTGCCAAAACTGCACTAGTCCAATTATTACGAGCAGCAGAATTAGTTTTTCTACTTGCATACTAAATAGACGGACGCAGCGGGCACTCGCGTGACAATCGACGGCTGATTCGTCAGTACATCCACCATTAAAGCGAAACAGAAAAAAAATCTTCAAAGACATATGGAGAGGTCCGACTGGGTTTTTATCAAGTATCCGTGTTAGCTGACTGCAAGTGACGAATGATAAATATTGTTGTGTGAGTAGTTTTTTAAAAACGCGCTTTCCAGTGTGGCGGATCGGTGAATGTGCAGACGCGGATCGCGCGGTAGCCCCTTTGTTCGCTCGCTTCAGTTCCTGGTGTGATGATCAGAATCTATAAAGGATCCAGTTACTGAGCTCAAACCCTTCTGATCTGAAGTCAGAGAGAGCATGACCTACGCAGAAGCCCAGCGCATGGTGGAGCTGGAGATCCGCGGCCGAGTCCACCGCATCAGCATCTTCGAGAACCTGGACGTGCTTTCGGAGGAGGACAGCGGCGCGGAGGACCCCACGCCGACAGGGACAGGCTCGGCGGCGTGTAACGGTGAGGCCGGGGGAATCGACAAGGACAGTTTGGACAGTTCTGCAGCCAATGGGGAGAAGGGGCCGCAGAAAACCGGAAAGCACAAGAGCAAAGACAAAAAGAAAGACAGCAGCTCGCACCATCACATGAACCCGCCGGTCAAGCTGCCCGAGGTGGTGTTTCGAGAGCTGGATCAGGAGAGACCGGACGCACCCCCCCGACCCATGTCTTACTACAGGTACAGCTCTGCCCATATATATATATGTGTGTGAGCGTGTGTGTGAGCGTGTGTGTGTGTGTGAGAGTGTGTGTGAGAGTGTGAGTGAGTGAGTGAGTGAGTGAGTGAGTGAGTGAGTGAGTGAGTGAGTGAGTGAGTGAGTGAGTGAGTGAGTGAGTGAGTGAGTGAGTGAGTGAGTGAGTGAGTGAGTGAGTGAGTGAGTGAGTGAGTGAGTGAGTGAGTGAGTGAGTGAGTGAGTGAGTGAGTGAGTGAGTGAGTGAGTGAGTGAGTGAGTGAGTGAGTGAGTGAGTGAGTGAGTGAGTGAGTGAGTGAGTGAGTGAGTGAGTGAGTGAGTGAGTGAGTGAGTGAGTGAGTGAGTGAGTGAGTGAGTGAGTGAGTGAGTGAGTGAGTGAGTGAGTGAGTGAGTGAGTGAGTGAGTGAGTGAGTGAGTGAGTGAGTGAGTGAGTGAGTGAGTGAGTGAGTGAGTGAGTGAGTGAGTGAGTGAGTGAGTGAGTGAGTGAGTGAGTGAGTGAGTGAGTGAGTGAGTGAGTGAGTGAGTGAGTGAGTGAGTGAGTGAGTGAGTGAGTGAGTGAGTGAGTGAGTGAGTGAGTGAGTGAGTGAGTGAGTGAGTGAGTGAGTGAGTGAGTGAGTGAGTGAGTGAGTGAGTGAGTGAGTGAGTGAGTGAGTGAGTGAGTGAGTGAGTGAGTGAGTGAGTGAGTGAGTGAGTGAGTGAGTGAGTGAGTGAGTGAGTGAGTGAGTGAGTGAGTGAGTGAGTGAGTGAGTGAGTGAGTGAGTGAGTGAGTGAGTGAGTGAGTGAGTGAGTGAGTGAGTGAGTGAGTGAGTGAGTGAGTGAGTGAGTGAGTGAGTGAGTGAGTGAGTGAGTGAGTGAGTGAGTGAGTGAGTGAGTGAGTGAGTGAGTGAGTGAGTGAGTGAGTGAGTGAGTGAGTGAGTGAGTGAGTGAGTGAGTGAGTGAGTGAGTGAGTGAGTGAGTGAGTGAGTGAGTGAGTGAGTGAGTGAGTGAGTGAGTGAGTGAGTGAGTGAGTGAGTGAGTGAGTGAGTGAGTGAGTGAGTGAGTGAGTGAGTGAGTGAGTGAGTGAGTGAGTGAGTGAGTGAGTGAGTGAGTGAGTGAGTGAGTGAGTGAGTGAGTGAGTGAGTGAGTGAGTGAGTGAGTGAGTGAGTGAGTGAGTGAGTGAGTGAGTGAGTGAGTGAGTGAGTGAGTGAGTGAGTGAGTGAGTGAGTGAGTGAGTGAGTGAGTGAGTGAGTGAGTGAGTGAGTGAGTGAGTGAGTGAGTGAGTGAGTGAGTGAGTGAGGGTGTGTGAGGGTGTGTGAGAGTGTGTGAGGGTGTGTTGTGAGTGTGTCAGTGTGTTGTGAGTGTCAGTGTGAGTGTGTGAGTGAGTGAGTGAGTGAGTGTGTGTGTGTTTATGTAATTGCTTTAGGTGTAAGATGTGATGGGTTTTGAAGATGATGTGGCAAATAGGATGTTGTTCAGTGCCGAGTATGTTTAGGTCAAAACTGACTTTCTGAATATATGTTTGTTGTTACAATCTTATGTAAACTCTAGTAATGCACTAATGCAAAATGTGAAATAGACTTGAAAAAAATTTTCTAGAAAAAAGGAGGGGATCTTAATGTTTTGATTAAGGATGAGGACACATGAATTAAATTATGTGCATGGATGAAACATTTAAATATCTATATATTTTTTATTTGCTTTATTTCTAGCAATTGTTTTTGCACTGATAGTTAATTGTACAGCTTCAAAGGAAGTACTTTTATTTATTCTCCATAACCATACATTCATGTAGCTGCCTGGTATTTATATGTTATTTAAAATTATTTCTCAATATGACGTGAACGACAGCTGATTTTTGAGAATTATTTGCATTATTGTAGTTCTATGTTTCGCACAGTATTGCAGTCAGTATATGCTGCAGTTTGACAGAACCAGCTGCTGCTGTGAGCAGTAAACACACATGACACAGACCGTGTGGATGAGAGATTTCTCGTGCTGTGTAAACAGTGCAGTGTTTGTGAGCGGCCAGAGCTCTGCCACTGGCACAGCGAGGGCTGGCCGGGTGATATAGATGAAAGCTCTTGATAGTTTTCCAAATTTTGACGATATTATTCAATAATATATCTATATATTTTTGCATTTACCCCCCCCCCCCCCATGAAAAAGACATGA